CTCCCCTCTAACCCTTTCCTCTTCCTAAAGACTCCCAAGTTCATCATTTTTGGATTTCTCTTGACATTTACCTTTATGTTTCTCAATAATGTAACTGTCTCAGTTCACCAGTTTTAATTCCCTAGTTTTAGATATTATCTTTTGTTTTATTTTTATGTCAAGGTTTGGTGCTGATATACTTTTATACTTATTTCTCTTCTCCCAATATTTAATCTTTTTCCTTTGCCTTGTTTGGTTGAAGTTTAATTAAATTAAAGTGAAAAGTACCGATCTTAAATGCTCAGTCCCATGAGTACATTAAGAGACTAGGTCTACCTTGACAAACACCACAAACACAGTGGCTGAAACAGCAGAAATTCATTTTTTTAGGGGCCTGGAGTCTGCAAGTCCTAGATCCATGTGTCGGCAGGGGTACTCTGAAGTTTCACTCTAGCTGTAGATGACTCTTTTCCTTGTGTCTTTCTTCACAAGGTCTTCTGCTGGGTCTATGTGTCTCTGTGTTCTAATCGTCTTGTTTCATGTTTGTTTTTCCCCAGAAACCTTTTACTTAAGGAATACAAACTTCATGCATTTCATAAATACAATAGGAAACCTATCATATTTGGACCTGTCCTAATGACATCATTTAAACAATTACCTCCTAAAGGGACCTATCTCTAAATGTAGGCATAATTTGTGGTGCTAGACAGGGTGTTAATATGAATCTTGGGGATACAATGGCATTTTTATCCACTCATGTAATAAACATGAAATCACTATGCAGAAAATTTCCATCATATCAAAAAGTCGTCTTGTACTGGTTTATAATCAATCCCTATGTGCAATTGACATGTTCTGATTTCTGTTACCACAGATTGATTTGTCTTGTCCTTAAATTTCATAGAAATGAAAATAAACTCCTTTGTGTCTATGTCTCATCCTATTAAAATTTATATAGCCCTTGAAATATTCTTCACTGTCTCCCTAAAACTTCTAAAGTCCTTCCTATTTTGGATTATCTTTCCTAAACTTCAAATCATTCTCTTAGTCTGTACTCTCATTATCCTAGTGTAGTGTGGGGAGCAATTCGGACTAGACTAAGTTACTGGAATTAAGACTTATTCTGTGCATCTGCTCTCCCACAATATGGCGCTGGGAGAGAAGAAAACAGCTTTTACACAGCTGCCTCCAGTTCAACCAATAAACTGTAGGACTTGCTCCTGATTGGAGGAGAGCGGCGTGCTCGGCGTGTGGGCAGCCGAGTTGGGATTGGCAGAGGAGGACTATAAAGGAGGAGAGAGACGGCATGCACCAGGAACATCTAAGGGGAACATCTAGCTGAAGGAACACCTGTGCAGCCCCCGACAGAGCCGGCCGGCGGTGTGCCGCTCCCCTGCGGAAGTGGGGAAAGCGGCCAGGGGGAACCGCCCTTCCACGGAGGTGGAAGGGATAGTAGCCAACCCGGGAAGAACCAGCAGCAAACCCGGGGAGGGCCGAGCAGACGAAAGAACAGCGCAGGGTCCTGTGTTGCTCCTCCACGAAGAGGGGGAGCGACAGTGTAGGTCCTTCATTAATCTCCTGTTATGAAAGGGACACAGACTTTGCAATTATAGATGTATTAAATGTCTGTATACTAGCTTGTACAGACATGCATTGTAATACTGAATTAATGGTAAACTAGTATTCAAACAGTACTTGGCCAGCGCTGCGGCTCACTAGGCTAATCCTCTGCCTGTGGTGCCGGCACCCCGGGTTCTAGATCCGGGATTCTGTGCCAGTTGCTCCTCTTCTAGTCCAGCTCTCTGCTGTGGGCCGGGAAAGCAGTGGAGGATGGGCCAAGTGCTTGGGCCCTGCACCCACATGGGAGACCAGGAGGAAGCACCTGGCTCCTGGCTTCAGTTCAGTGCTGTGTACTGGCCGTGGCGGCCTTTTGGGGGTAAACCAACAGAAGGAAGACAGCTCTCCCTGACTCTCTCTCTCACTGTCTAACTCTGCCTGTCAAAACAAACAAACAAACAAAACAAAAAAACAGTACTCTATACTTTATGTATCTGTGTGGGTGCAAACTGTTGAAATGTTTATTAGTATATACTAAGTTGATCTTCTGTATAAAGATAATTAAAAATGAATCTTAATGATGAACGGGATGGGAGAGGGAGTAGGAGATCAGATGGTTTGTGGGTCGGAGGGTGGTTGTGGGGGGAAAAACCGCTATAATCCAAAAGTTGTACTTTAGAAATTTATATATATTAAATAAAAATTTAAAAAACATACTGTATTTGCGATACTTATACTTCATGCTTATTTAACTAGACTTGTGTTATAATGTCTTGATTATTTGGCTATACATCAACTTCTAGATTTACAGTCCTTGTTTAGAACTTTATAGTTATTTTTTTGTTTGTTTGTTTTTCTTTTATTTTTTTAAACTTTTATTTAATGAATATAAATTTCCAAAGTACAGCTTATGGATTTCAATGGCTTCCCCCCCATAACATCCCTCCCACCCGCAACCCTCCCCTTTCCCACTCCCTCTCCCCTTCCATTCACATCAAGATTCATTTTCGTTTCTCTTTATATACAGAAGATCAGTTTAGCATACATTAAGTAAAGATTTCAACAGTTTGCTCCCACACAGATACATAAAGTGAAAAATACTGTTTGAGTACTAGTTATAGCATTAAATCTCAATGTACAGCACACTAAGGACAAAGATCCTACATGAGGAGTAAGTGCACAGTGACTCCTGTTGTTGACTTAACAAATTGACACACTTGTTTATGGCCTCAGTAATCACCCTATGCTCTTGTCATGAGCTGCCAAGGCTATGGAAGCCCCCTGAGTTCACTGACTCTGATCATATTTAGACAATGCCATGGTCAAAATGGAAGTTCTTTCCTCCCTTCAGAGATAGGTACCTCCTTCTTTGATGACCCGTTCTTTCCACTGGGATCTCACTCGCAGAGATCTTTCATTTAGTTTTTTTTTTTGTTTTTTTTTTTTTTTTTTTTTTTTTTTGCAGAGTGTCTTGGCTTTCCATGCCTGAAATACTCTCATGGGCTTTTCAGCCGGATCCGCATGCCTTAAGGGCTGATTCTGAGGCCAGAGTGCTGTTTAGGACATTTGCCATTCTATGGGTCTGCTGTGTATCTCACTTCCCATGTTGGATCATTCTCTCCCTTTGTTATTCTATCAGCTAGTATTTTCAGACACTATTCTTGTTTATGTGATCCCTTTGGTTCTTAGTCCTATCATTATGATCAATTGTGAACAGAAATTGATCACTGGGACTAGTGAAATGGCATTGCTAAATGCCACCTTGATGGTTATTTTTAGATTTTTATCATTATTTATTTGAAAGGAAGAATGGCAGAGAGAAAGAGAGGGAATGAATGAATGTGTATAAATGAATATTGTATCTGTTGGTTCACTTCTCAAATGTGCACAAAAGTCAGGGCTAGGACAAGCTGAAGCCAAGAGCCTGTAACTCTACCTGTGTCTCCCATGTTGGTTGTAGGGACCCAAGTACCTGAGCCATCACCTGCTGCCTTGCAGGATGCAGTAACAGAAATCTCGATCTGAAGTGGAGGAGTGGGTACTGCAGGTACCACTCTGATAGGAGATGCAAGCATCCTAAGCAGCAGATTAACTTGATTGTACCACAAGCCCACCCCTATAATAATTTTGCTGTTTTCTGACTTCAGATGTTGCTGAGAAATCTGATGTCATTCTTTGCCCTTATCATGTGTTATGTGACCTGCTTTTATTTTTTTCTATTTTGGAAATTTTTGGATCACTCCCACACTCTGTCTCCACTCCCTGGTAAGGCTCTTCTATGTCACACAGTATGTGCCTTGTTGTCATTCTTTTTAATTCCTCAATCTTTCAGTCTAGCATCTCAAGTCTTCCAGTTCTGCAAGGTTTTCATTGGGAGAAGAGTTTTTTGTTTTTGTTTGTTTTGTTTTGCTAATTTCTATCTTCAGTTTTTTCTTCCTTTTGATCATCTTATCCATTGGGTGTTGGAAACTGTGGGGTAAACTTCTAATTATTTTTTCTTTTTTCTTTGATTTCCTAACTTTCACATTGAGTCATGGAAAATTACATTATTTTCCATGTGTGAATATTTATTTAATTGCTGCAAAATATATTTAGATTGAGGACATTTTTAATCTGCTTTATATTGTTAAATGAGGGCCTCACTGTTGGGATGTTTATCAGCAGCCCAACTCTTGCTTTGCTTAGGGCACGGTTATTAATTTGCTCTAAAGAAGGATTATTTAGTGTTCTGCTTGACAAGCATATACCTGATTGCCACTAGTCCACATCTCAGATGAAGGAAAAATGCATGGATCTTTCACATGTTTGACCTAAGAACAGTTCTCCTGATCCCTTTTCTCTTCTGTTTCTGGTGTGTCTGAATCTGTATTTCCAGACAATAAAGCTACCAGCCGCTCCGAAGTCAGCGAGCTTATCAGAGTTGTTTTACTGTGTGTAGATAGAAATTTGGGACCATAATTGATCTTTGTGACTTTCAAACCATCCCTTATATCAACTGCATGCTTCAGTCCCACCTTTCACAGTCCAGGACTCTGAAATTTTTCATGCAAATTCCCTTGTTTTTCATTAATGTCTCTTAAAAATATGTATGTTTCAGCTTTCTCCACAAATCCCTCCAAGTCGTATCTTCCAAATATCTGTACTTGTTGATATCCTAATGCAATGTCGTCCTATTCTCTTTTTATTGGACTACACCCCTTGGAGTATTTGACTGTCATATTAATGGCACTAACAAAAGGAAAGATGATAATGCTTGTAATCAAATGAATTGTGCATTTTTGTTCAAATCAGTCAAATAAGAATTGTCACGCTGTAGGAAAGGCTTTCATTTGATTCTACGAAGCTATCCCCTAACACTCCTTGCTTTGCTCCATTATTCACACTTATGTTTGGGTCATTTCTTTGACCTCATCCTGTTGTCCCTTCTTTCTCCAATGTTTTAATTTACATTTATTGTTTCACAGAGCATCAAAGTAAGCTGGCTGCCTCCTCCATCAGGAACACAAAATGGATTCATTACTGGCTATAAAATTCGACATAGAAAGACGACCCGCAGGGGTGAGATGGAAACACTGGAGCCAAACAACCTCTGGTACCTGTTCCCAGGTCAGTGTTCATGGGGTGCGCTCTCGCAAGGTTTTGATGAATTAAATGGTTCAGGAATAAAATATACTCTCACTTCAAATGCACATCGATTTCCTCCTTTCCCAGCTCTCAGCAGGTGGCATTTATTGCCCCAAACAAGAATAACCTTTATATGTTTTACTTTATATCCTCTATAATGCTTTCACTCCATATTTTACTTCTGGATCACCATCTAAAAAATGCATCATACAATTTTTATCCATATTACTTTCTCAGCATTGCTGACTCAATCATATTATCTGATAACTTTCATCTTTTTAAGTAATAACTTTTGAAAGACATCTATTAACATATTTTCAAGATTAAGTCACTTAGATCCACTACCCCAACTTCTAGTAGTGAGGTTGAAGACAGAAAAATGATAAAGGTTAAATTGTGTAGAAAGAAAACAGTTATTCTGCCATCCAAGTACAAATATGTATTCACTTTTGTAGCTTGATTGGTGAAATTCCTAGTAGGTCAAGCTTATAAAAAATGGACTCAGTTTTCAAACAGAAAATGTGAATTTATATATATATATACATATATATAAACATAAAATATCCATTTTATGTAAAATAGACCATCATCTACTTCCTTTAAGGACTGGAACCCCATCATACATGTCAGTGCAGGTCCCTAGAAAACCAACTGGAGCAAGGCTTTTGCGGAAATACCATTGAAAATGTAAGCCCAGGAAAGTAATCATGAGGGAACAAGGGAATTACCCCATCATGGTGTATTGGTGAACTGGGATGGCCACAATGTTCTAACAAACACAGAACTTGGGAGGCTTTCTGGAGTGTCTCTAAGAGGCCCTGTAAACCATGGCTCAAAATCCAGGGCTGGACAGGAAGTGTGAGCAGCTTTTCTTCGGTTTGTTGTTTGCCCATGTACCACCATCAGGTACCCCCAACTAGCCTCAGGTGAAGTTAGGACTTCCGGTGAGCATGCTAATATGGAGGCCTCTCCTCCCTAGTCAGCGCTTTAAGTGACAGGGCTTGGTCTTGAGTAGCAACACAGCTCAGGGATTACAAGCCCAGGGAAGAGCAGGAGCTATTGCTAGGAACTTGGGAAGCAAAGTATAGAAAAATGACTCAGGACAGAGAAGAGCAAACTAGGGCTGGCACACAAATTAGTCTGTGATAATGTAAAAGCGATAAAGCATGAAACTTGCAACTGATGAGAAAACTACCATTGCAAATGAGAAAATGGAAAAGTAACCCTGGATTTGTGCCTTTTCTCTACACCAGATATTTTAAAATGTTCACTTAAATAACACACACACACACACACACACACACACACAAAGGCAGCTTCTTGTTCTTGGTCAGTTGGCATTCTGAGATTTCAGAGTAACCTAGCCTTTTAACTCATATTTTTTCTGTTATTCCTATGAAATTTTAAAGAGTACTTCTGCAGTAGACTTAGAAAAAGTATATTATTTGTTTTCAATCTGGACAAAATCTCCTGGACAGGTACAATGGAATATAAGAAGAAGTTATAATATTCTACCATACCATTTTAAAATCATTAAAGAAACCAAGATCCCATATAATTTTCCTTAGTGAAATAATAGAAAGAAGGTAAAAATAATTGAAGTTAAAGTGAAGAACATGTGCTCATTAGGATATTTTTTACAACATGTAGTTTGAGAGCAATTGAAAAACTTGAAAAGTCTTTTAAAAATATTTTATTATAATATCAGACTTAATATTAGACTAGAAGAGAGTCTAAAGATGGCTCAAGTGTTGGGTCCCTGCTACCCATGTAGGAGATCTGGATGGAATTCTGGATTCTTGGCTTTCACCTGGCCCAGTCCTGCCTATTGGAGGCATTTGGGGAGTGAACCAGTAGAGATGGAAGATTCATATTCTCTCTCGCTCTCTCTCTCTCTCTCTCTCTCTGTGTTAGTCTGCCTTTCAAATACATGAAAATAAATAAATATTTTAAAAAGCAATAGAAATGCATTCAGGAATGCTAGCATAGTGTTTATAGTTACATGTATAACTACATTTGAAATTGATTGCAATAAAACCAAATTACACATACTCCTTGTTAATTTGAACTGGAGCATTAAAAATTAGTATAAGGCAAATAACACACCTTTGTGATAAAAAAGTTAGTGAATGGCATCATACCTTTAAAAAACTAAAAATGGGCTTTTCAAAGCCTCTGCCTTCCTGTTGCCTGCTCTGTGACTTAGCTTCAGAAGCAGCTGTTACTTTTCTAGAGGTCATGAGAATGTCTACAAATCACTAAGGGACCAGAAGTACTACACACTGGAGGACGGCTGTGGTCCAAGCTTATACACAGGAAATATCTAGCTGCTTCTACACTTTGTGCTAGGCAGAAATAATTGATTTTCCATATCAATCTGCAGCATTGAGCATGTACAGGATTTGACCCCATGCCTTCAGTGCCTGTAAGATACATGTGTTTATTGATTTGGCTGTTAAAAAAATTGGAAATGCCAGAATGCTTCATTTCTTTGATATAAATATTCAGGTTTGGACATTGAAAATGTCTGTTTTTCAAAATCTTCTGCTTCTTAGGTAGGTGTTTTTGTTGTATGTTTTTTAGTAAGATAATATGACATCTGCCTCTCAGGTGTCTTTTGTTGTGTGTTTTTTAGTAAGATAATATGACATCTGCAATAACAAAGTAATTCAGAGTTATAACAAAGATTTTGAATAACTGCTATCAGTTGTATTCTGGGAACTCAAGTTAACTACATTTTAAAATGATTTTTTAAAACTTTGGAGTACTCTTCAGAGAAGGTGTTTGAAATTTACAGGCTCTCTTGTGTTTCAAGGCCAGTATTGAGTAAACATAACAATTAGCATGCATTGGTATTAAGTGGGCTGAAAACTAAAACAATAGCCTGGCAGTTTTATAAGAATGTTCACATTAAGGAATGTTCACATTAAAGAATCATATTTTTGAATAATATTCAATTTCTTAGCATGAGTTCTAAGACATTAGAAATAGAAGGATTACAGAACTAAAATCATTTTAGTAGTGGAGGTAGAAACAGGAGGAAGAAATAGTGTAAAAATAGAACTTACCCATTTTTTTATTTTAATTTTAATGAATTTTAAGATTCAGTATGATTTGTAGATATGAGTCTCAGACCATAATGAAATTCCTCTTCTCCCACCCTCCTTTCCTTTCACTCTTATTCCTTCTACCTTTCTTTCTGTCTTTATTTTAGATAAAATTTTAAATTTAAATCACAATAAAGGCTTAATACTTCACCAAACAAGAAGTTTAACAAGTAAAAAGCAAATAGACCCTAGAATAGCAGGAATATAGACAACAGTTATAAATAATTGAATGTATAAATGAAAATTTCACCCATGAATAGATTTTTAGTTAGTTTGTCATTCATGATTTCTTTCAATGAAATATAACCAATTTCAGTGTAAAATCTAAATATTTCCTGTGTTGTTATAATAATTAAGTGCATTTAGACTTTATGCCCTTTTATCTCAACAGTTTATGAAGAATAATGTTATGCAGATTGCAATACAAATAATTATGCATTACATTTTTTATAATCTGTTAGTTACCACAGAACAGGAAAAACATATTTGTCTTTTGGAGACTGACTGATTTCACTAAACATAATGGTTTCAGTTGTATCCATTTGTTGCAATAGACAAGATTTCATTTTTTTTATGGCTGAGTAATAGTCCATAGTGTATATCACATTTTCTCAATCCAGTCATTGTTTGATGGGCATCTAGGTTGATCCCATGTCTTAGCTATTGTGAATTGTGCTACAATAAACATGGGGGTAACTCCTTCATACGCTGAATTCATTTCATTTGAGTAAATTCTGATGAGTCACATGTCTGGGTCATATGGTAGATATATTTTCAACTTTCTGAGGAATCTCTACACTGTCTTCCATGATGGCTGTACTAGCTTGCATTCCAACCAGCAATAGACTAGGGAATGTTTTCACCCATATTGTTACCAGCATTTGTGGTTTTTTGGTTTCTATATGAGGGCCATTCTAATTATAGTGAGGTGAAATCTCATTGTGGTTTTGATTTTATTTCCCTGATGGTTAGTGATCCTGAGCATTTTTTGTTGTGTCTATTGGCCATTTGAGTTTCCTCTTTTGAAAAATGCCTGGTCAAGTCCTTTGCCCAAGGACAAAGAACTTAACTGGATTGTTTGGTTGTTGTAGAGTTTCTGGATCACTTTATAGATTCTGGATATTAATTCTTTATCAATTGCTTAATTTGCAAAGATTGTCTCCCATTCTGTCAATTCCTTAGCTTTGTGAAGTGTATCCTTTGCAATGCAGAAGCTTCTTACTTAACTTGTCATAATCCAGTTTGTCTATTTTTTCTTTGATTATCTGTGCTTCTGGGATCTTTTCAAAGGATTCTTTGCCTATGCTGATGTCTCACAGAGTTTCCCCAATGTTATCCTCTAATAATTTCATGGTATCAGGTCATAGATTGACATCCTTGATTGATTTTTATGTTGATTTTTGTATAAGGTTTAAGGTAGGGAACTTGTTTCTTACTTCTGCATGTGGAGATCTAATTTTTCCACCACTATTGTGGAAGAGACTGTCCTTATTCTAGGGATTCATTTTAGCTCAATTGTCACAGACTAGTTGGTTGTAGATGCACAGATTAATTTCTGTGGATTCTATTCGGTTCCATTTTTTTTTTTTTTAAACTTTTATTTAATGAGTATAAATTTCCAAAGTACAGCTTATGGATTACAATGGCTTCCCCCCATAACATCCCTCCCACCCGCAACCCTTCCCTTTCCCACTCCCTCTCCCCTTCCATTCACATCAAGATTCATTTTCAATTCTCTTTATATACAGAAGATCAGTTTAGCATACATTAAGATTTCAACAGTTTGCTCCCACACAGAAACATAAAGTGAAAAATACCATTTGAGTACTAGTTATAGTATTAAATCTCAATGTACAGCACACTAAGGACAAAGAT